ACATGGTGCAGCAGGTCCTTCAGCGCTTCCGCTTCACGTACTCCTCGCCTCAGCCCACTCCTCTGCCTACCGGTCACTCGCTCTCAGCTTTGCCTTCGGATGAGTCCGTAGAGCCGAGTGGCCCGTATCCAGAGCTTGTGGGTTGCCTCATGTACCTGATGACCTGCACTCGACCAGACCTTGCATACCCTCTCAGCATTCTTGCACGCTATGTCGCTCCCGGCCGTCACCGGAAGGAGCACATGGTGACAAAGTTTGAAGAAAGAAAGAGGATTGAACTAGCAAGAATGAGGATACAAATAGCAAACCCTAGAAGGGTTGTACTCGCTATAGAGCACCCCACTACAGGCTAGAACATAAGATAATATTCTGACACATGGATGCAGCTAAGAGGGTGTTGCGCTACTTGTGCAGTACGTCGGGCATGGGGCTAGTGCTTGGAGGACGAGTCCCAGTTGTTCTCACTGGGCACTCAGACGCTTCTTGGGCAGACGACCAGGCTACTCAGCGGTCGTCTCAGGGTTACACCTTCAGTCTTGGCTCTGGTTCTGTTTCTTGGCGTTCTACTCTCTCTTCTTTTGTTCTCAGCTCCAGTTGTGAGGCTGAGATCTACGCCACAGCCATGGCGGCCCAGGAGCTACGCTGGCTCACCTACTTGCTGACCGACCTTGGAGAGCAACCTCGTTCTCCTCCAGTGCTGTATGTCGACAACAAGGCAGCCATTGCCTTGTGTGAGGAGCACAGACTGGAGCACAGAACGAAGCACATTGCTCTGCGTTACTTCCTTGCTCGAGAGCTGCAGCAGCGTGGTCAGCTTCGCCTGCGTTACGTGGCCTCTGAGGCCAACACTGCTGATGTGTTCACCAAGGCGCTTCAGCCTTGTGACCATCAGCGCTTTTGCACACTTCTAGGCCTTGTGCCTACTGGACCTCACTTGCTTACTTCTTGAGTCTGTTTGTACTGTGATCTCTATATATATACCTGCATGTTTACTTTTGTTAGGTTGTGATCATTGTACCTTTTGCTCTATTATAAACCTGCATGTGAACTGGTCTTGTGACCACTTGCTTGTGCTCGGAATTTGTGTGGTATCCTTGAGATCCACCCTGAGCTTGTTTTGCCTTGCTTTGCCTTGACTGGTCTTGTGACCCCTAGTTCTCCCCCACTTTGCCTATGGGGGTGTGTCAAACATTATATATGTTGTGTTAGTTTAGGCTATAGTGGGTTAGCCTATAAGGGGTACACAATTCTAGGGTTAGGTACTTGTACTCATTTCACTGCTAGTTCATTCATTCCTATTCAGTGATTCCAACACCGACTCATCACCAAGGGCTCTAAGTGCGAGTTTTTTAAGCAGGATTTGAAGTTTTTGGGGCACGTCATCTCGCGCGACGGCATTAAAATCGACCCGGCGAAAATCAAGACCATACAGGAGTGGAAGTCCCCGACGAACGTCACGGAGTTCCAGAGTTTCCTCGGATTCGTAAATTACGTCCGGAGGTTTATCCCGAATATGGCGGGGATAACCGGCCCGCTGACCGACCTGCTGCACTAGGACAAGAATTTTGTGTGGGGGGAGGAGGCAGAAGCGGCGTTCCAGGAACTCAAGAATTGTCTCGTTTCCCCTCCTGTGCTACGCATCGCCGACCCTTCGAAGCCGTTCGAAGTTGTAACCGACGCCTCAGATTTCGCCATCGGAGCTGTGCTCCTCCAAGATTTCGGGAACGGGTTGCAGCCGATAGCCTACGAATCACGCAAGCTGCAGGCAGCCGAACGCAACTACCCGATCCACGACAAGGAGATGCTCGCCATCATACACGCATTTAAACTATGGCGATGCTACCTGGTGGGCGCCGACGTCACTGTTCGCACGGACCACAAATCCCTACAGTACCTGCGAGCCCAACCCAACCTCAACCCACGACAGATTCGATGGCTCGACTACATGGAGATCCATTTCACCTACCGCATCACGTACAAAGAAGGGGCTAATAACATCGCCGACGCCCTGACCCGACCGACAGTACAATCCGCTGCAGTACTCATCACCCACTCGAACCCGCTACTTACCGGACTATTCACCCACGGCTACACGACAGACCCCTTCTTCACAACGGGAAACCATCAGCAGACTACGACGCAGAAAGGGGACTATTACCTAAAAGCCGGAACCGACCGGATTTGGGTTCCTGCTTACCGTCTGCTGCGTGAGCTTCTCATCCAGGAGATACACGATTCAAACCTCTCCGGACATTTCGGGGTCGATAAGACACAGAAACTATTGCACCGTCACTGTTACTGGCCTGATTCCTCTAACGACGTGCAGCGCTATGTGTCCTCATGCAGGGTGTGCCAAGCAATGAAGTCGACACGTCAGCGACCAGCTGGATTGCTGCAACCCCTCGAGCCACCCGAACGACCGTGGCAACAAGTGACGATGGATTTTGTCACGCGGATGCCAGCTGGGCCGACAGGCAACGACGATGTTCTCGTCGTCGTCGACCGCTTCACGAAAATGGCGCACTTCGCACCATGCCAAACGACAATCACAGCCGAAGAAACTGCGCGACTTTTCATATCGACGGTCGTGCGACTGCACGGCATCCCTTCAGCGATCATCAGCGACCGCGACCCAAAATTCACATCCAAATTCTGGAAGGAGACATGGGCGCAATACGGCACGAAGCTACAGTTCTCATCGGCTTACCACCCGCAGACCGACGGTCAAACAGAGCGGACCAACCAGACCATGGAGCAGTTAATCAGGACAAACTGCCCCGATCCTGCCCGCTGGGAAGACTCGCTCGCAATGCTGGAATTCGCTTTCAACAACGCACCATCCAGCACGACTAATCACTCCCCATTTTTCCTGAATTATGGGATGGACCCGGCGGTTCCGGCGACAAATACACTCGACAATCCGGTCCCGCGTTCCTAGACTTTCGTGACGGAACTCCAGGAAGTCCGCGAAAAAGCCGCCGACGCAATTCGCAAAGCGAATATTACTTCCCGCAAATACACCAACCTTCTTCGCCGGGAACTCGTCTTGACTACTGGGCAACTAGTCCTCCTCGACACGAAAAACCTGAACCTGCCCGGCCCTGCGAAACTTCGGCCACGATTTTGCGGACCGTTCAAAATTCTCTAGATGGTGACACCTGTCACCGCGAAGCTATTGCTACCCGACGATTGGCATATACATGACGCGTTCCACATCAGCCTCCTTCGGAAGTTCGTGCCTACCACGACCGACATCGCACGTCAGCAAGCGGCCCCAACAGCTCGCCCCGTCCCGGAGCCAACCCTTGCACCTTCCAAGATTCTCGCTCATCGGGTCCGCCTTGACGCCGCTGGACGCCACGTGGATTTCTTAATTCGCTGGACCGACCGCACCAGTGAGGACGACACGTGGGTGCCATTCGCTTCACTGGACGCCTCGACACTTGTTGGTGATTATCTGGCGCGACGGCGTGTTTCGGCTATTGACTACCTTTCAAGGGGGGGGGTGGTGTAAGGAATTTTCCCGAATTCCTTATCGGGGTTGACTGCTTCGCGTACAACTCGATTTTCGGAGTTCGCACGTTCGGCCGATTTCAACGCTGCCAAGGCTCCTCACGTCGCCTTCGGCTTTCCCATCGCCAAACCTGCACCCAACCTCGCTCGTCCGAGGTTTCCTCCTAGCTAGAGTAGTCCTACATTAGTCTGTGCATTCATTGTATTCGCTGTTGATTCAGTCACAGCTTCGTTATTCGTTTACTTGCGCACTCTCTTTTACAACTCATAACACATGTAGACAGTCAGTTACTACGTGGATGCAATGTGATGTACAGTGTATTACGTAGACATTCTCTGTTAAACCCTCTCCTTGAATAACTATCCTCCAGGAATTATTATCGAAAATGTAATGAGAAGAAATAAAACTCTATCAACAATAAAAATATGATATGGAAAAGCATATTTAATTAAGTATCATCGAATTATTATAATAATAGACACTAATTCCAGGAAGATTCCAGGAAAAATTGACCTGAAATAAAAGGCTAGGGGCGGCCATGGTTGCGGTTTAAGCTTTCATTCTTTAGAGAATGTAGTAATGAATGTATGGAACATGTGGTTTCATATAGGCGGACACGATAAGGGAACAATACTGTTTTAGGTTGACTGGTTGTCGGTTTTCCGTTTCTGTCGTGACGGAGCTTCAGTTTGCAGGAAACCAATCACCTTCCACGGCCACGGAGGCTCGGAACTGAACAACGGTACCGTGGCGGTGTGTACAAATTTTGTCGCGCACACACCCGCCCTCACTCGTTACAGCACCAGATCCTGCCCCCCGAAATCAAGGTTCCCACAGGCGCTCCGTACAATCACAGGCAAACCAAACTGGAGTTCTGTCAGGAGGTGGGGTGGGGAGAAAGTCGAGGAAGCCAGTGATTGATGGCCTTGGGGTTTGCCTTCCAACCAAACTTTTCAAAATTGACGAGGCGACAACCTCTAGGGCCGTGCAGTACAAAGTGCAATACAGTATTCACAGTACAGTACAGTGCAGCTAACATGAGTGTACTGTACTTAAACTCACGTGTTGTGACAAGGAGCCAGCCATGGCGGCGGCGTCGAGTCGATTGATTGAGACAACACAACCAAAGTCCTCGTGAGACTTGCCCTCTTTGCTCAACCCCCAAATCCGTACAACCACCAACCAACTTGAGTAGGTCGTCCCCTTCGTCTGATGACAAGCAGCCTAGTCTCTGCTCTATACTAGTGTTTTTGCTGTTCTGTGACGTTCCGAGCACCACACCTAGTCATATGATGAACGCACGAGAGACTCAAGTACAACCAGCCTTCGAGAGAGTGATCTTAGTTTGATTCATTACACACTTTCCATGTTGGTAGATACGAGGTTCTCGGTAGTAGTTTTCGCGGTTTCTGTGTCAAGGTTGGTGTGCTTCTAGCTAAAGAAATACCAGACAAAGTATTGGGGTACCTCTAATTACAGCGAGAAGATGAAGTGGAAAAAGCTGATGGGAGGGAAGGGGAAGGCCCAGGAGGGTGGAGCGGAGAGCGGTAGAGGCCCTCCTTATGTGGATGTTGATGTTCCAGGAAGCTTCGATAAGTCGATAAATAGCGACGCGCTCGACGGCGATTCGTTCGGCCCGCCGCTGACGCCACAGACGGCGTCGATAGAGGACGAGTTCCGCCGCGGCATGCAGGTCAGTCGCGCCGTTGCGACGTTTGAGTCCTTGCGACCCTTTTGCGTCGTTGCGACCTCGAGTTCTTGCGACGTTCGAGTCGAGTCAAAGTTCATTCGTCCGAGTAAGACTGCATCCAAGTCGACTCGGAATATACGTCTGCACCTAGATATAGTTTGGTATCGTCGTGGTCGCATCCCGACGACTCTCCGTAATGGCAGAAGCTTCTAGACTTTCTCACGTCTCGCCAACCGCCGTCCTCACTTTTGAGACTACTCAAAAGTCACCTAGACTTCTTCACGTCTTTCCAAGCTCCGTCGTCTCGCGTCCAAGGTCACCCCGAGGCACACCGTCTCGCGGATTATGCCGCTTTCACGTCTCACCTTTTACTCTTCTTGACTCTTCCGAACTCACATTGACTCCGCGATTCGCCCCCGGCGATGTGACCCGTCTCTGTACTTGTTTTCGTCTGTCGGCCGTCAGCCCCCCTGACAGGGGTTGACTGTTGACTCGCCTTAAAGGTCACCCTGCTTTCGTCTGTCGGCCGTTAGCCCCCCTGACAGGGGGTGACTGTTGATTCGCCTTAAAAGTCACCCTGCTTTTGGATGTCGCCCGTCCGTCCCTGTCGCAGGAGGTTCGCGAGATGCGCGACAAGTACGAGGGGCTGCTGTTCCTCGTCGCCAACGCGCAGCAGCGCGCCGCAGGTGAATGGATGGGTGGATAGGTGTGATGTGAGGATGGGTGGAAGGGTGTGTGGATGGATGACTGGGGTCTTGGCGTGGGGTTCGCCGTGTTGCGTCGCCAACGCGCAGCAGCGCGCTTTAGCTGAATGGATGGGTGGGTGGGTGAGTGATGGGTGTGCGGATGGTTGGGTGGATGGATGGGTAGGGTGGTTGGGTGTGTGTCGATGGATGGGTAAAGGGATGGTTGCATGGGTGTGTAGATGGGTGAAGGGGTGTGTGGATGGGTGGGTGGGCGTATGACTGGGCACATGCATCTCGCTGTTGTCATCACTCCCCCTCTGCTGATTCTCCGCCTGCCTCTCCGCCCCTCACTCGTCTCCCCTCCAGAGTTCTCCGATTCGTTTCGGGAGCTGTCCTCCTTTGTGGCGGGCGCGTTTGGTGCTATAGAGGACGGGAACGTGGGCGAGGTGTTCCAACACGTAGCTGTGGTAGAGGACCGCATCGGACAGCTCTTCCATTACTATGTACGTGCGCACACACATGCATGCATGCGCCTCCTATGCGCACATGCGACTTTCACACCCGTCTCAAGTCAAGCATCGCACGGGGTGTGTTTCAGCATGTGGCTGTGGTGGAGGACCGCATTGGACAGCTCTTCCATTACTATGTATGTGGTAACGTGTGAACTGCGCATGCATGTATGCATGCATGGCATTTCCTGCGCGCACATGCGCCGTTCACACTCGCCTGAAGCATCGCACGGGGTGATTGAACATGTGCTTGCTGTTGAAAACCTTATTGGGCTGCTGTGCCACTGCTATGTACGCCACACTTCCCACAGCATCACACACTGTTGTTGCTTCAATTCATGATTTCGTCCTTCTATAAGCGTTTAAAGAAAGGATGCTCTTGAACCCCTGGTCGGTCCTGTGCTGCTAGGCAGCGTATGGGAATCAATCTTCCTGCTTGTATGTTTTTTATTGGCCGTGTGTGTGAGTGTGTGTGAGTGAGTGTGTATGTGCGTGCATGCGTGCGTGCGCGCACGCGCGTGTGCGTGTGCATGTGAGTGTGTGTGGTTGGGTGGGTGTGGGTGTGGGTGTGGGTGTGGGTGTGGGTGTGCGTGTGGGTGTGCGTGTGTGTGTGCATGTGCATGTGAATGTGCATGTGAATGTGCATGTGAATGTGCATGTGCATGTGCATGTGCCATGCGTCTGCGCCCACCAGGCCATGCATCTAGCACAGGCCATAGCAGAGCCTACGGAGTCCTTGCTCGTGGAAATACACCAAGTGGAGGTGCGTGAATGGTTTTTGTCTTTGATTCAACCCTTTTAAGCCCACTGCTCCTTAGGACGCATCACAATTCAAACATCGATCCTGCAAGGGATCGATGTGTGAGTGTACAGTAGATGTGCGAATTTGCGAATTTTAGGGTATCATGCTTTCGTTAGCTTTCGTGTAAGCTCATGTCACAATAAGATCGTCCATTATCGAACCGCCACCGCACTGAAATCCCGCTTCAAACATTCACAACGCTCAGAAACAGTAAGAACTCCGCCAAACATGGATCCTCCAGGGCGATCGTGTCCCACGCAGGTTGAAACCTGGCTGTTGCGATCGATGCTCACGATTTCAGTGTGTGGTCCCGATCCCCATCCGGTGTTTCAATTGTGACGCGTCCTTCGGTCTCTCCCGCAGGGACTATTACTCCCCTTACAGCTCTCATCCCTTGCACACCTCTCATCCCGGGCAGCACCATCAACTCCTCCTTCTTTACTTTTTGTTCTTCATTTTCCCTGCTTTCTTCGCTCTGTGTGTGATCAGGAGACAAGAAAGCTGTACGAGGCAAAGAGGTAAGTTGCCCATTGCTCTGTTCACGCACCTGCCACCCTCCTGTGCTATCATCTGTTGTTCCTCCCTACCCGTGCTTGCATCTGTGCCTTTTTGTCCGCCTTACATCTACTCAGGTTCACTCCCTTCCCATTCCCACTCCGCGATCCCACATTCTTCCCTCGTCTTCTCTCCCCCGCCTTCGTTCTGCTTGTCTCTCTCACACGCTCACTTGCTAACTCAATCCCCCATGCCGTCGCAATGGATCTTCCCGACTCTTGCTTCTTCTGACGTTTCTTCACACGGGTCTCTTGCAGGCGCACTTATGCGGAAGCCAGAGCAGCAGCGCGCACCCATGTACCATCCCCTGCCACCACACGCATTGGATGCTCTGGGGGCGGGGGCGGGGGGGCGGGAGGGGGAGGGGGAGGAGGAGGGGGCGGAGCTAGTTCCGCATCTGCAGCAGCAGCAGGCGGAGCAGGAGGGGGAGGAGGGTCGGCGGCAGTGGCGAGAGCAGCAACAGTTGGCGAGACAGACTGGGAAGGAGGGGCAGCGCGAGGCCGGGGCAGGCGAGAGCCAGAAGAAGGGGGGAGAGATGAGGAGGAGGAAGAGGAGGAAATGAGCGAGGAGGAGCGGGCAGCCAAGGAGGAATTTGACGAAGTAGCCATGACTCTCGGGTGCAGGATACTTGCCTTAGAGCAGAGGCGGCCCAGGGCGTTACTCTCTCAGGTGGTGAGGCACCACGTGGCAAAGAGCCGGCTGCTGAGACGGTCTCAGCTGCAGCTGGGGCAGCTGGATGGGATCATAGGGTATCTTGTGGAGGAGCTGGGGATGGGGCGTGCGGCGCTGCTTTGTAGCGTTGATGAGGGTGACTATGACGAGGATGATGACTGGGGGGGCGTGGCAGCAGGCAGTGTGGAGCAGGTGTGTGTTACCGTACCTGCCTTGTCTACGTGCCTGTCTTGTCACCTTACCTGCCTTGTCACCATACCCGCCTTGTACCTGCCTTGTCACCATACCCGCCTTGTACCTGCCTTGTCACCATACCCGCCTTGTACCTGCCTTGCACTCGGGTTCCTGTGCTGTGCTTGCACCCGGGCTCGTGTGCTGTGTTGGCAGGGTACCTCATCCCCAACACACGTTCTCTACGCGTTTTGCATCAACTCAAAGCTTCCTATACTGTCCACCCTTCCACCTGTGCTGTGCCTGCAGAGCACCGCATCTCAAGACACGTTCACCACGCTTCCCCCGCCCCCTACCTCCGCCCCCTTGCCCTCAGTTCCCACCTCCGCCCCCCTCCCCGCTCCCCCCACCTCCGCGCCCCTGCCTTCACCTCCTCCTGCCCACTCCACCCAACCCACCACCACCAGTAGCAGCAACACCACTATCATCTCTGCAGCTGTTGCTTCTGCAGCTGCTGCCGCTACTGCTTCGTTCGCTGCACACCCTTCTGTCACAGGACCTACCACTGTTCCAGGCCCAGGAGGAGCAGTAGTACCTGCTGCAGCAGCATCATTATCAGGATCAGCAGCAGCAGCAGCAGCAGCAGCAGCTGCGGCGGCGACCGCGGCAGCAGTTGCACAGAGTGCATCTAGAGGGAGAGGCAGGAGCAGCTACTCTGCCCCTTTGAGGCCCGTTGTACGCCCTGACGGCTCTGTCACGTCACGGCCCCTTCTACCCCGTAACAGGTCAGCTGAAAGCGAGTCCTTGGCGCCTCTCCCTGCTGTCCCTGCGCCTGCTGCTGCTGCTGCTGCTCCTTCTTCCTCTGCTACAGCTGCAGCATCTGCAGCTGGTTCTGCAAGGGTGGTGCAGCAGCAGGCAGGTCAGGGTCTGCAGCAGCAGCTGGTGCAACAGCAAGGGCAGCAGCAGCAGCAGCAGCAGCAGCAGCAGCAGCAGCAGCAGCCACTAGCGCAGCAGCAACAGCATAAGGCGGCTGTAAAGCAGCAGCAAGGACAGCAGCAGCAGCAAGGACACCATCTGCACATACTTCCACAGCAGGCAAGGAAACGGTTGCACCCTGGCTTTCCCCGAAGCAAGTCCTCTGATAGCCCTCACAGCAGCAGCACTCCCCAGCCACAACAGCTGCACCGTCAGCCCCAGCAGCCACAGCAGCAGCTAGGGACGCAGCAGCACCAACAACAACAACAACAAGCAAAACAGCAGCAGCATCAGCAGCAGCAGCAGCAGCATTCTCAAGGGCAGCAACAAAGAGGGCAGCAGATGCGTATCGGGAGAGCAAACACACACCTGCAGAGTTCCTCTGTAGGCTCGTCCACCCTCGTTGTTCCCTCCTCCTCCTCCTCTTCCTCCTCCTCTAACCCCCAAAACCACTCTCGCTCCAAGTCAGGTCCCATCCCCTCACCGTCTGCCCTCCCTAGCGCTGCTTCTGCTGCCACTCACGTTTCTGCTGCTCCTGCTGCTGTTGGTGGTGGTGGTGCTACACCCACCGCTCCTGCAGCAGCAGCAGCAGTGGCAGCAGCAGCACCACTACCTGGAGCAACTTTTTGTTCGCCTTCCCTTGTCAGAGCTCCAGGCAGCACCCTAGGGAATGCTTCAGGTAATGCCCCAGGCGTCACAGGTTCTGCACCTGCGTCTGGCGCCACTCCCTCCCCTGCACTCGTTGCTGGTGCTGCTGCCACTCCCACGCATACAACACCTCCAGCTGCTACTGATGCTGCTCCTGTGCTCCAAACACCAGTACTTTCAGCTGCAGTGGCAGCAGCAGCAGCGGGGGGTGGGGGTGGGTTGAGGGGGAGAGCAGCACACGTGGGTCCCTTTGCCATGCAAATGTCTGGCCCGCTGCCCCGCCCCTCTGCTGTTGAACAAGCTGTAACAGGAGCTGCTGCTGCTACCTCTGCCTCTGCTACAGCTACTGGTCCTGCTACAGGCGGTCCTGCAGGCCCCGGAGGTGGTTCGGCAGGTGGTCCGGCAGGTGGCTTGGCAGGTGGAGCAGGCGGAAGTGGGGGAGGGCGGTTCAGCTTTAGCTCTGTCAGCAGGGAAGGCCCAGCAGGTGGGTTGGCAGGAGGTCCTTCAGGTGGTTTGGCAGGGGGCTTCACAGGTGGGCTGACTGGAGGAGCAGCCATGCCCATGCCTGGGCTTCATGCCCCAGCGAAGAGAGTAAGCCATTCGGGGCCGATTCTCCGGGGCAGCGGTGCTGGTGCTGGGTCAGTGTTAGGAACAGCATTAGGGGCAACAGGAGCAGCAAGAGCAGGAGCAGGAGGAGCAACAGGAGCAGGCACAACCATGCCTCTGTACGATCCCTCTGCTTCTTACCCTCCCTCGTCCTTCTTCCCTCCCTCCGCATCATACCCCCCATCATCAGCACCTGCCTTCTCATCCAGCCTCCAGCAAGCGTACATGATAGGAGCCATACCCTCCCAACCTCCTATGCCTTCCCAATCACCCATGCCCTCTCAACCTGCTACGACCCTCACAGCTGCTCCTGTGTCTGGGTATGCCTACGCTGGGGCAGCAGCAGGGGGAACAGTGGGCAGCGGGGCAGGGTATGGGATGGAGCCGCAGCCTAGCTGGCAAGCTGGTGTGTCTGGAGCCGGTATGAGGCCAACAGGGATGGCAGCCGCAGCAGGAGCAACAGGCCTAGCAGTCCCGGCAGCAGTGTCGATGGGACCTTCAACAGGAGTCCCAATGGGAGTTCAAACGGGAGGCCTGGGTGTGGGTCAAAGCTATCCGTCCCACCCAGCTTACGGTTTCAACACCAGCCCGAGTGCCGGATTAGGGTTTGGGAGCGGTAGCAGCGGATTAGGGTTTGGCGCCTCGCCTGTTTTCCAGGGTGGTTTACCCAGCAAGGCCCTGAGTGGACCCATAGCCCGCAGCTCTTTCTACGGAGGCAGTGGTTTGCTCTCCTCAGCCGGCATTCCAGGCCTGACCGGTGCTGGTGGCAGTGGTAGCAGCAGCGGCAGTGGTGGCGGCGGCAGTGGCGGTTTCAACAGCAGCGGCACAGGACACATGCGGGAAGAGAGGCTGATAAAATCCGGCCCGATTGGGCCGAGTAACAGCTACTATGTGGCCATGGCTGCTCCTGCGCTCTCCCCGCCCAAGGTCACAGAGTTATATGCCCTCCCGCCTCCACCTTTGGAGCTGAACTCGTCTCCTGGTAGAGTGGTTTCAGGGGGCACGGGGGGTGCTGGTAGCGGTGTGGGCAGCGGTGGGAGTGAGGGGAAGGTCCTGCGGTCCCCTGGGGCCAAGGAGGGTTCGACAGTGGGAGCGGTGGCTGGTGGGGGGGGAAATGGTGGTGGCGGGGTGGGTGGAGCAGCATTGGATGTGAAAGGGGAGAGGCAGGAGAGGGAGGTGGTTCCTTTGTCCTCTTTGTCATTGTCATCCACACCAGCCCAGGTTCGACAGGAGCAGCAGCAGCTACAGCAGCAGGGGGCACAGACCCAGCAGCCCCAGCAGAGTCAACCGAGTCAACAGAGTCAGCAGAGCAGGCAGCAGCAGCAACAACCATCGCCGCAACCACCCTCACAACAGCCACCCCAGCAGCAGCAGCAGCAGCAGCACACGCGGCCGCAGCTCCCGCCGCTACAGCCACAGCCACGGGTGCTGCCAGCCTGGCCTGTGCAGCCCAGGGGGGCTGGCAGAGGGGCAGGCTCACTACGCCGCCCCATGTTCCCCACGATCATGTCGGAGGGCAGTGAGGAGGGCGAGTCTGGTACCAGCAGCTTCACTGGCTCGCCGGTAAGAGGGGATTGTGTGCGGTTGAAAGGGGTTGAATGGCTTGTTAGTATGGTCTGGTTGGTCAGTTGCCCCCTCATCTGCACCAGACAACCCTCGCTCCACGCATTTCAACCTCTCATACCTCAACCATCTCGTTCACTTCTTTCTCCTCACCACCAACCCCCCCCCTCCCCCCTTTTCCACCCCTCCTGTCCGTGCGCTGCAGTCCCTGTGCTCCACGCACAGCCCTGTGCAGCGCCTCGTGGCCTCGCCCTTCACTCCCCCCATGCCAGTTTTTCTCATGCACCAAACAATCACTTTTCCTGCCCTTCTCCTTCCCCTTGCCCCCTCTCACTCCTCCTTGCCTGTGCTGTGCAGTCCCTGTGTTCCATAGATAGCCCTGGAGCTGTGGCACCTGACGACCTCACCCTTCCCCGCTCCCAGGGTGCCGCCTCTTCGTCCTCTTCCTCTTCCGCTGCCCAGTCCTCGGCGGCTACTTCATCTCTTCAGCCCAGGCAGCATCATCCGGGTTCGGTTGATCGATCTCAACCGTCGGATGCGGCTAGTTCAAGACGGCTGGAGATCCAGCTGAGGCAGGCTTTTTCGATGCCACGTCAGCATCATCTAGTGTCACCGGCTGATGGCATGTGCAGTCCACATTCGTCCATGACATCATCGTCGTCCTCGCCTGTGCATTCCCCACTGTTGCCAGCTGCTGCACAGTGAGATGTAAACTGTGCAAATTTATGATAATTCTTTCTAGCATTTGTACTGAGCAAGTGCAAATGTTACCTCTGCTCGGCTAATTTGATTGATTTTTTTGGTGTATAGTTCTTCAATGTAAGCGACTTCGAGAACTAGGATTTTGTTCTTCACAGGCGCGATTCGCCCTGATGCGGGTTCGTGTCAGAGAGTTACCATGTCGCATCGTTCCAGCCAGCCGATCAAAAGTTTAGGCGGGAAGTGTAATTCAGGTAGCAGCCCTCGATTCTGTCAGCAGCTCCAGACCAGAGAGAGCGCAGTTCGAGCTGATGGTCAACAGATCCTGCTGAATGCCGTCCTTGTTTTAGGGGTAAGCTCGAATCTCCAGGTTGGATGATTTGGAGGTAAGCTGCAGGCTGGGCCTCAAACGTTGATACCTTATAGACTCGCTGAGGCTATCTGGCTTATCAGTCTTTTTAAGTACCGCCCGCATTTTTTCTCAGGAAGTTATGGCAGTTCTTATGTAGTCAGTCTCTCCTGCTTCACTAGGCACTGCTTAGATTTTTGTTACCTGTCAAGCTCAGAGTCACGGATATCTAGGACATCTGCGAGTCGAGGCGACTCTGAATTCCGAGGATCGCGGACGGACCTCCATTAGAAAGCCCCGAGCGAAATGACCGTTGATTCCTGGGTGTGGAATAATGCTCAGAAGCAGTCATGTCTGAAAACCACAGCCTTTAAAATCGATCCTCGTCACTGTCGAGTTCATCGTTTCGTTCCTAAAATCCTAGAACCTGCTTCGGCAAGGTCTCTCAATTCGCGGTCCAGGATGTAACGGCAAAAGCCTTCCGCGCATTTTTCCATCTTGAGTGCCATTCTGGTTACCGTACGGTCGTGCATTAACACACCTTTACCTCCGCACACCTCTTCACTAAAATCGTCACCATGACATTCCTTTCGAAAGCCCTCGCGGAGATCGCTCAACGGTCAGGATCGCTCAATCAGATGCCAAAACGCAGCGAGTCGTGCAACTCCTTCTTCACGGGAAGCCAATCTCCAAGATCAGCCGCCTTTTCCGGTTCTTTTCTTCCACGCACGAAATCGCGAAGAGAGGACGGCGTAGGCCGCGTGATCATGTGGATCGTCCTTGCGTTCCAGTCGAAACGCATTCTTTCGTTCCTCGTGCTGCCGCTTCTCGCGTGCCTGCTCGTCTGGGGCTTGCTGCGCCGAAGCGGATCTGAGAACGGGAGGTGGCCGGCCGTGGAACGGCAGCCGTGGCGAGCGGAGATTGTCGTCGAGTCTTCGCCGTCGTCGTTGTTACCGTCGCAAGCGTCACACGGTGGCTTGGCAGCAGCGAGTGAGAAAATGGTCAGAGAGCCTTCCAAAGCGACCGTATCACGTGTGGAGGAGGGCAGTGAAGGGGTACCGTTGTCCGATGCAGGGAAAAAAGAGCAAGAGAAAGTGGTTGAGCGTTTGCGAGAGGCGACCGGCGACGGCGACGACGGGTTACCTGATCGTGGGCAACGTAAAAAGGAAGCGGGAGATGGGGTGGACGGCTCAAATGGGGAGAGAACGGCGGACAGCAACGGGGAGATGGGAAAAGAGGACGGCGATGGAGGCAAGGGGGAGAGCAGGGGTGAGGGTAACGGGGAAGGGAGCGATGGACTGAAAGTGGGGACTGATGTGAAGGATGAGGGGATGAGAGAGAAAGGGGACGGAGATGGTCAGGGCGAGGAAAAACTTTCTGAGGCAACTCAGATGTCATCGGAGGGGCGGCAGGATGAGAATGTGGTGGTGGAGAGTGAGGGAGGGAGCCGAGGCGTAGGAGAGAAAGGGGAAGAGGAGAGGAAAGAGGAGAAGAGAGGGATCGAGGTGGAGGAGGTGGAGAAGAAAGAGGGGAAGAGGGAGGAGGAGGAGAAGGAGAAGGAGAAGGAGAAGGAGAAGAAGGGGAAGGAGGAGGAGGAGACGGAGAAGAAGATGAAGGGGAAAGAGAAGGAGGAGAAGGAGAAGGGGAAGGGGAAGGGGAAGAAGAAGGGAAAGAAGCGTCAGCAGTACGAGGAGGTCAAAGAGAAAGTCCATCTTGACGGTATGCTTGCAGACAGCTCGTTTCCACCACGCCAGCTCCTTTCCCTGTCCTGCGTATTGTGGCCTGTGCCATGGCACGTGGAAGCCCACGTGTTCAGTTTTCGCCAATGCAGCTGCGTTTTCAAACAAATGGTCACTCTGAACCTTTTCACTGATCGCCCCCTCCTTCAGCTCTTTCCCTTTCCCCCCAATCTGCGCCACACTGCCTCCCTTCCCCACCCCCTGCGACTGCGACCTGAGTTCTGACCAGACGCAGACCCAACCCACCTGTTGGTTCTCCCCCCTCTCCGATTGCCAACCTTCGGGATGATAATCCCGCCCCCACTCCCATGCAATCCCACCCCACTCCCATCTTCCCCCGCCTCCCTCCCCCAGTACCCGCGGACTGCGACCTGTACCACGGCACGTGGCAGCCAGACGCAACTTGAATCCCCTCGTTATTTTTTCCCGCTCTTTGATTGCCCATGACCCGCCCCCTTCCCAGTCCCCGCGGACTGCGACCTGTACCATGGCACGTGGCATCCAGACTGAACTGAATTCCTTTGCTCTCTCTTCCCGCTCTCTATTTGTCAATGACCCTCCTCCCGTTCCCAGTCCCCGCGGACTGCGACCTGTACCACGGCACGTGGCAGCCAGACGCAACTTGAATCCCCTCGTTATTTTTTCCCGCTCTTTGATTGCCCATGACCCGCCCCCTTCCCAGTCCCCGCGGACTGCGACCTGTACCATGGCACGTGGCATCCAGACTGAACTGAATTCCTTTGCTCTCTCTTCCCGCTCTCTATTTGTCAATGACCCTCCTCCCGTTCCCAGTCCCCGCGGACTGCGACCTGTACCACGGCACGTGGCAGCCAGACTTAGAACCGCCGCTCTACACCAACAACACGTGCGCCGCCATCTCGCAGCACCAGAACTGCCAGGGCAACGGGCGGCCGGACAGTGGGTACGAGCGGTGGCGGTGGCGGCCGGGGGGGAGGGAGGAGTGCGGGGCGCTGCCGCGGTTTGATGCGGTGGAGTTCATGCACGTGATGCGAGGGAAGAGCGTGCTATTCGTTGGGGACTCTGTGGCAAGGAATCACATGGAATCCCTGATCTGCCTGCTGAGCCAGGTGAGCCATTGAGACAGATTCGGGGGAGAGGGAGGGGGGTTCTGGGCCTTTAACGAGGTTTGATGCGGTGGAGTTCATGCATGTGAAGCGAGGGAAGAGCGTCCTGTTCGTGGGGGACTCAGTGGCATGGAACCACATGGAGTCGCTCATTCTCCCATCTCTCTTCCCCCCCCGATAATCCAAGTGGAGGCCCCCCACCTGCGGGGCAGCAAAAGCCTGATCCTCATGCTGTTCCCACGCGCCAAGCTCACCGTAGCACGCATCTGGTCCGCCTGGCTCGTCCACGAGTCCCCTTCCTTTCCATCCCCTTCCCTTCCCCTTCCCTTCCCTTCCTACCCTTCCCTTCCCCCACCCTTCCCTTCCTACCCTTCCCTTCCCTCCCCTTCCCCTCCTTTCCCGTCAAACTCCAGGTGGAAACCCCCCACCTGCGGGGCAGCAAGAGTCTGATCCGAATGGTCTTCCCGCGCGCCAAGCTCACCATAGCACGCATCTGGTCCGCCTGGCTCGTCCACGAGTCCCCCGACCCTCCCCCCTCCGCGCTGCCCTCCGCCCCTGCGGACCTTCCGCGCCTGCACCTGGACAGGACGGGGGAGAAGTGGTGGGGGGGTGTAGAGCGGTACGATGTGGTGGTGCTGTGCACTGGGCACTGGTTTGTTAAGCCTGCTCTGTTTGTTGTGGGGGGACGCGTGGTTGGGTCGCAGGGCGGGTGGTGGGAAGCGCATGGGAAGGAGTTGGAAGGGGTGGGAGGAGGGGAGAGTGGCGAGGAGACGAGAGGAGGAGCAGGAGGAGGAGAGGGAGGAAGAGCAGGAGGGGGAGGAGGAGGAGATGGAAGTGGGAAAGAGAGTGGTTCTGAAGGCAGTTCGGGGCAGCTGGAAAGGAAGGGAGGTGAGAGTAGTGGGCAGGAACAGCAGGGGGAGCAGCGGAGACGGTTGGAGGGAAGGGTAGTGGCTGATGATACAAAGCTTGTAGAGAACACGTACAGAGCAGCCAGGAGCAGCAGATGGGTGACGGATACACAGAAGGATCTACAGAAGGATACACGGAAGGATACACAGGTTCCAGTGAACAATACTGCTGCTTTCTCAATTGCCATTCGGACCGTCTTTGCTGACGTGGCGGCTGCTGTCAAGGCGAACCCGAAGCAGCTGTTTGTCTTCCGAACCTACTCCCCGGACCACTACGAGGGCGGGCAGTGGAACACCGGAGGCTCGTGCGCAGGCCTGGCCGAGCCTCGCGGCAGCGGCTACACCTACGAGAACACGTACGGGAACGCAATTTATAACGAGCAGAAGGCAGCTTATAACAAGGCTATGGAGGGCCTGGGAGAAGACTACAAGTGGCGGTTTGGCCTGATGGACATAATGCCGAGTGCGGGGTTGAGAGTTGATGGGCATCCAGGGCCATATAGAAGGTTGAACAGTGTTGCCGAGCTGGAGAAGCGCAGGGAGGAGGATAAGGAGGCCAAGTATCCCCCCCCGCAGGACTGCCTGCACTGGTGCCTGCCCGGGCCTATAGACTCGTGGAATGTGTTTCTGCTGCAGCTGATCAAACGGAAGAGAGTCATGGGGCAGGCAGGGGCGTAGAGGCTTAGAGCCACAATGGCACAGGGTGATAGGGCACGCTACTGCTCAGATCTAGATTTGGGCCGAAGAGGGCAGCAGCGTTTTGAGACTCCTTAAGAGGGCTGGACAGTTGTTGGCGGAGCTGGACAGCTGAAAGGCAACAAGGAAGAGGAGAGAAGTAGGAGGGGAAGTCCAAACGGCACAGGGTTATGGGGCAGCCTGGGGCTTGATGCTGTGACAGCTAGGGCCAGATAGGGGATGGGTCAGATAGGGGTGTAAGAGTACAGATGTGCGATGGGCCAGCAGGGGCATGACGGTACAGGGCCGTTGGTGGGACAGCCAGATGGATGTGTGATGGGGCATGGCATGGGGATGAGTGGTGCTTACAGGGTGGACCGTGGCATGGGGTGGGTCGGAATGGTGCTTGCAGCTGGGCGTGAAGCAGACCCTTCCTTGGTGAAGCAGACCCTTCCTTGGTGAAGCAGACCCTTCCTTGGTGAAGCAGACCCTTCCTTGGTGAAGCAGACCCTTCCTTGGTGAAGCAGACCCTTCCTTGGTGAAGCAGACCCTTCCTTGGTGAAGCAGACCCTTCCTTGGTGAAGCAGACACAAGGCTTCCCGTCCTACCCACCCTGAAGCACCTTGGTGTTCTGGTGTTCTAGTCAAGCAGGCGGTAGTCAACTAGGCCTCCTTCCCCACCAGGGCGCCTTGATTTGATTCGAACCGTTGGATGTCTGATGGCCTCGGTGCAAGGTTTATGTTATGGCGCTAGATGCCCAGAGCCAGAGGCGCGGTACAATACAAGCTTGTAACGCACCCATGCCGTATGAAGCTGACCATGTGTGTGACTTGCAGGTTGTTGAAGCCTTCTTAGCAATATAACAAGGCAAGATGCATCCAATGCATGCTCACTACCAATCGCGACAGTAGTCCCATGGATTATCCCCAAGGAGCCAAGTTGATTGTGGAGCAGCGTCTGGGCTGGAAACACCTTGTGTGGTCCGGGCATGCTCCACATGCGTCAAGTTGATTGTCTTTCAGTGTTACTTTTGGCCCCAAGGAGCCAAGTTGATTGTGTTCCAGTGTTACTTTTGAGGCGCCCCAAGGAGCCAAGTTGATTGTGTTACAGTGCTACTCTATCGTGATGGCAAACTGGCTATCCGAAGCATGCTTAGCAATACGACTACTTCCTTATCAGACACCCAAGAGGCAGCACCTGTGATTTTAGCTGCCCCTCTGCCAACGTGGGAACAGCGTCTGGGCTGGAAACACCTTGTGTGGTCCGGGCATGCTCCACATGCGTCGAAAGAGTCAAGCTTCGTTTAGGCTTGGCTGGTTGGTTTATACTGTAAGCTCGGTTCAGCTCAGCTGCCCATATGAAGCACCTGCCAGCCGTTTGCCAACTCGTCCAGTTGCTCCCCTGCCAACATGGGCACCAGAACGGCCTCCCCCAAACGGGACCCACAGGTGATGGAGCAGGGTCAGGGGTATTGCATCAAGTTTGCTCCGGATTCAATTGAGCGTTCATTCAGCTGTTCAGAGGAAGCACCTGCCACTCCAGCTGCTCGCCTGCCAGCATTGGTACGAGAGAGCCCCCATCAGCATACGAGTATGAGTCAGGTACGGCCCACGGTTGGCGGATGAGGGTGATGCGGCGGGAGTTGCGAGGCAGGCCGTAGAAATCAGGTCCGTTGAAGCTCGTGAAGGCCTCTAGCTTGTCCAGTGCGCCTGCCTGCTCGAATGCCCGGGCGTAGAGAGGCAGGGCGGCGTGCGCAGAGAAGATACCGGCGCAGCCACACGGCGCCTCCTTAGTGGTGCGCTCGTGAGGCGCGCTGTCGGTGCCGAGAAAGAAACGAGTGCTGCCGCCCGTCACTGCAGCCACTATTGCCTGGCCTGGTAAGGGGGAAGGCGGAAGGAGAAAGGAGGAGGACGGAGGAGGAAGAAGGAAGAAGGAAGGAGGAAGAAGGAAGGATGAGGAACGAGGAGAAGACAGATTTAGGAACGCACTTTAGGAGAAGCAAGAAAGAACGCACTTGAGGAGAAGCAAGAAAGAACGCACTTGAGGAGAAGCAAGAAAGAACGCACTTGAGGAGAAGCAAGAAAGAACGCACTTGAGGAGAAGCAAGAAAGAACGCACTTGAGGAGAAGCAAGAAAGAACGCACTTGAGGAGAAGCAAGAAAGAACGCACTTGAGAAGAAGCAAGAAAGAGCGCACATGAGGAGAAGCAAGAAAGAACGCACTTGAGGAGAAGCAAGAAAGAACGCACTTGAGGAGAAGCAAGAAAGAACGCACTTGAGGAGAAGCAAGAAAGAACGCACTTGAGGAGAAGCAAGAAAGAACGCACTTGAGGAGAAGCAAGAAAGAACGCACTTGAGGAGAAGCAAGAAAGAAGGAAATATTTACAAGTGACTATCTGTCGTCTCCCTTTGATCAGCATGCGAGTCTCGTCTTCCTCACCACCTCTCATGAAACAACGAGACTCACGGTGTGTCTCCCGCTTGAGGACAGGCAAGCAGAAGTGGTGGGGCCGAATGCGCCCACTGAACAGAGCGTTGCGGTTCCACAGCAGGTGCTGTGGCAGTCCGTTTCCTCTCAGTGAAACTTACGGTGGGTCTCCCGCTTGAGCATGGGCAGGCAGAAGTGGTGCGGGCGGATGCCCCCCGTGAACAGAGCGTTGCGATTCCACAGCAGGTGCTACAACAGTACCTCTCATCGCAGTGAAACTTACGGTGGGTTTCTCTTTTCAACACGGGCAGGCAGAAGTGGTGCGGGCGGATGCCCCCTGTGAACAGAGCGTTGCGGTTCCACAGCAGGTGCTGGGGGGTCACTGTAGCAGCCACCCGCCCCTCAGGTGCTTTCAACACAAACTCGACCGCATCTGCGGTGGTGACATGCTCGAGAACCACTCGCAGGGAGGGCAGGCGGGCTAGCAGGGGCGAGAGCACTCGATGGATGAACTCCTTCTCGCGATCGAACATGTCGACTGATGGATCCACCACTTCTCCATGCAGCTGTGGGGGGGGAGTGGGAGGGGGAAGGAAAGGGGAACGGAGTGGACAGGCACGTGCTGTGGTGTGGACTAGCAGAGGCGAGAGGACTCGATGAATGAACTCCTCGCGGTCGAGCATGTCGACTGATGGATCCACCACCTCACCATGCAGCTGGGAAAATCAACGGGGGAGACAGAGGGGCGGGGGGAGTGAGTGGGGAAGGAGAGGGTGGGAGGGGGTAAGTCGACCGCATGTGAGGGCAGGCGGGGCCAGCAGGGGCGAGAGGAGCATGTCTTTCCCACGGTGGATGATCTCTCTCTCTCGCAGCCCAACATGTCGACTGATGAGTCCACCACCTCCCCGTGCACCAGCAGGGGCGAGAGGAGTCGGTCAGTGGATGAACTCTTTCTTGCGGTCGAACCTGTGTCGACTGATGGGTCCCCCACCTCCCCGTGCAGCTGGGAAACTCAACGGGGGAGACAGAGCGGTGGGGGGAGTGAGTGGGGAAGGAGAGGGTGGGAGAGGGTAAGTCGACTGCATGTGAGAGCAGGCGGGCTAGCAGGGGCGAGAGGAGTCGGTGGATAAACTCTTTCTTGCGGTCGAACCTGTGACGACTGATGAGTCCCCCAGCTCCCCGTGCAGCTGGGAGTGGAGGGAGAGGGAAAAGGGGACAGGGAAGGTTGTAGTGTTGGCTTCCCTAATAGCAGAGGCGAGAGCACCCGGTGAATGGAATCTTTCTTGCCCCCTCCCAAACTCAACTCACGAGCAGCGGCATGCCAATCTGCGCCATGTGCTGAATGGCAGGGAAGCAGCGCCCAAAGAGGTCCGTCACTCCCGCTGCTGAGTTGGTCGTCGCTCCCGCAGGGTACAGCTTGAATGCCACCACTAGGCCCCCGTCCTCTAAATGCGGGGTCAAGGGAGGGAGGGAGGGAGGGAGGGAGGGAGGGAGGGACGGGGAGAGGAATGGAGAGATCGAGGGAAGGAGAGAGCAGTGACAACGAAGTCGTTGCTCCCGCGGGGTACAGCTTGAACGCATGGGGGTTGGTGAGAGAGGGAGGGAGGGAGGGAGGGAGGGAGGGAGGGAGGGAGTGAGGAAGGGAGGGAGGGAGGGAGGGAGGGAGCATTGAGAACGCACAACAAGCATCGGCAATGGAGTGACAATGGGAGTTGGTCGTCACTCCCATGCACGGGGTACAGCTTGAACAGCACCACCACGCTTCTGCTCTCTGGATGGGGGTTGAGGAAGGGAGGGAGGAGAGCAGCAGAGTGTTTGAACAAATGAGCAGTGCGAGCAAAGAGAATGCGGTGTGGTGTGGCACGGTGTGTTTTGGTGTGGTGCAGTGTGGTGACAGGTGTGAGATAGAGCATCATGAGTGGCTCAAAGCCCGCCTTCCCTCCCCAAACTGCCTCTTTCCACGCACACCAGTCCCAACGCACTCACTCGCTTTCTGCACCTCTTCCGGTGTGGTGTCATCTGTAAGGTACAGCGTCATCAACGGCTTAAAGCCCTCCTCCCCTCGCCTCCCCTCTGGTACCGCTGCCAGCACCCGCTTGCGGTACTCTGCTGCTGCCAGTGCGGTGGTGACCGGTGGGCGCAGGTTGGGCATGATGACTGCTCGGTGGAAGACGGCCGCGCTGCCGGGAAGGGGGTAGGGGGGAGGAGGAGGGGTAGGTGGGGGAGAGGGGAAGAGGAGGGGAAGAGGGGGAGGGGAGGAAGGGTGGAGGAAGGGTGGAGAAAGGGGGAGAGAGGGGAAGAAATGGGGAGCAGGGGGGAAGAGGGGGAACAAGAGGGGGAGAGAGGAGGGGGATGGTGTGCATGCATTGTGCATGCGATTCTCTAAGACGAAGACGGACACCTGGCACCTGAAGTTCTACCTGAGATTTCACCTGAGCTCTCACCTAAACGGCACAACGGATTGCAGCGCAGCGCCATCCCGCACGTGCAGGTGCCAGTCGTCGGGCTGCGTAATCTCTAGCCGCTCCACCCCCACAGAATCCGCCGCCGATTGCGCTCGCACCGCCGCCATAGATTGCTTACGTCCTGTGGAAGAGAATCCTTGGCTTGAGTGGCAGGAGACTAGGCGGATGCTTCGATAACGGGAGTCAGAGGAAGGGAAATAGTCGCGCCGTGAGAACGGTCGGCGAAGCGCATTGGTGTGCAAGTGATCGGGAAACGAAACGAGGCGAGAAGGAGTTACGTCGCGCTGCGAGAGCGAGGAATGAGGGTTCGGGGTTTGGGGGAAGAGATTGTTTGCGGGATGCGCGGAGATCGCACTCGCCATAAGAGCGGATTAAAAGGTAGTTATTGTTCACCGCACGCCCTTGTATGCTGCGAGCAATTGGCGCTTCGGAATCCGTTCGGGGAATTTCGGGGCTGATGATGGCGGGGACGGCGAAACCAACTGATCCGAATGCAACGATGTGATATGGGATACGAGTATTTGCGCTTTGAAAAAAGTGTTTATACTTAATTTTCTTGTGAAAATTGTTATGGAGAATCATTGGCGGATTGAGTTGCCTGTATGGTGTATACTTGAGATTCACCTGCGTTTCGCCTGAACTACAATCCACCTGCTTCAGCTGTACCTGCTGACGTGGATATCTGCTGTTCACCTGCATCTGTCTACTGCATGAACACTGTCGCGAGTTTCGTCAAAAGATCCAACGTGGGCTGTCTGCTTTCGCCATAACCATTCGATCGCCGCCACACGCACCCCCCCCCTCCAACCACACCCAGCCAGCCAAGACTTGTCTGGTCGGAGTTGACAAACAGCGCAGCAACTCAACATGACTTTTCGAATCGCATCGTGTGCCAGGAAATGCCCAACTGGTCACTCGATTTTTTATGTGATGCAAAGCGGTCATTGTAGCAAACGCCGTAGTTTTGTGCGTTCCAGTGAGTTAAGCTGATGTGATCGTGCTGTAACTGCACCAGAATGCAATGCGGAATGCACTACTGTAACCAGCACAAGGACAGCTACAAGCGGGGAAAGCCCCACCTTCCCCGCCTCAGGGCAACAGCTCCCTCTTCCCTCCGTTGCTCGTCCCGTCTCCCGTCGCTCCCTCCCTTTTTCCCAGAAAACTCCCACATTCTAACCAGCAAACGCATTAGCTAACTCGCTCTGGTTTTCAGAACTCCGATTCGTGTCCGAACAAGACTAGTTGCGGTCGCGAGGGCCTAGCTTAGTGGGCAGTATTTAATCGCCGCGAAGATCACGCTCCACGAGAATGCGCGCAGCCCTCCACGGGTGAATAGCATGTCAAGGGCCAGAATGGGGCTTAGAAGTGTATGGCTAACGAGATCATTCGCGTTAGTCTCGCTGCTGGCGACGGTTGCGATGATCGCGATGCTGGTAACTGGAGCTGCGGCGCTGGATGCATGTCCTGACGACGATTCTCTGGTGCGTGTTGCGCCGCTGCGGGATGCTGGGAGTTGCTGTTGATGCCAATGTTCGTGTGCTCTGCTCTTCTCTGCTCTGCTATTCTCTTCTCCGCTCTGCTCTCCTCTGCTTTGTTCCGAATACATTTCGTGCGCGCCCGACAACCGACGAGTGCATGAGAGACACGCAGGAGCTCGACTCGGAAGCCTACAAAATCGACATAAAATTCCCCTTCCCCCTCTCCCTGCACCTTTCGCTGCCTTACGTCGCAGTTCGTGTGCGCGACGACCGACGAGTGCATAAGCGACACGCAGGTGTGCGACGGGTCGCCCAACTGCAGCGACGCGGACGCGCCTTCCGACGAGGACTCCGCATTCTGCGCGACCTGGGAGTGCCCCAGCGGGTGGAGCAAGTGCGACGACGGCTTGCAGTGTTACGAGGAGAGTCGCATGTGCGACGGCTCGCGCGACTGTAACGATGGGAGCGACGAAGAGGGTTGCGACACTAATGAGGGTGACACGACTCCTGTTACTGGAACGCCTCAAACGGGAACACCTGATACGGGAACGACTGATACGGGAACGACTGATACGGGAACGACTGATACAGGAACGACTGATACGGGAACGACTGATACGGGAACGACTGATACGGGAACGGCTGATACGGGAACGGCTGATTCGGGGACGGCTGATTCGGGGACGGCTGATTTGGGAACGGATGATACGGGAACAGATGATACGGGAACAGATGATACGGGAACGGATGAAACGGGAACGGATGATACGGGAACGTCTGATACAGCAGCACCAGGTGATGAAACTGAAACTGGCGAAGCAACATCGACGGACGGAAGCGTTCCGGCAGATGAAACTCCTCCTGGAGATGAAACTGAAAATACAGGAGATGCAACTCCACCTCCGCCGGCGAACGAAGACACGACCCCCCCAGGAGATGTAGCTCCACCTCCGCCGCCAGCTGACGTGGACAATCCAGGTGGAGATGAAACCCCTGGTGGTGCTCCACCAGGTGATTCGTCAGGGTCGGGGGAAGGTTCACAGGAACCTTCGGAAGGAGCAGGGGAAGGGGGAGAGGGAGGGAGTGAGGGGGGAAGCGGAGAGGTGGGGGGAAGCGGAGAGGAAGGTGGGAGCGGAGAGGCGGGGGGAAGCGGAGAGGAGGGGGGGAGTGGAGAGGAGGGGGGAAGTGGAGAGGAGGGGGGGAGTGGAGAGGAGGGGGGAAGTGGAGAGGAGGGGGGAAGTGGAGAGGAGGGGGGAAGTGGAGAGGAGGGGGGAAGTGGAGAGGAGGGGGGAAGTGGAGAGGAGGGGGGAAGTGGAGAGGAGGGGGGGAGTGGAGAGGAGGGGGGGAGTGGAGAGGAGGGGGGGAGTGGAGAGGAGGGGGGAAGTGGAGAGGAGGGGGGAAGTGGAGAGGAGGGGGGAAGTGGAGAGGAGGGGGGAAGTGGAGAGGAGGGGGGAAGTGGAGAAGGAGAGGAAGGAGATGGGGAGGGAAACGACACAGAAGAGGGCGGTGATGGAGGGGAGGAGGATGGCTCAGGGGATGAAGATTCAGGTGAATCTGAAGAAGAACCTGAGACGCCACCTCCCCCACCTCCACCTGAGAAACAGCTCTCTCCCCTGGAGCAGAAAAAGCGGGAGTATCAGAAGGCTGCACAGGCAGCCGAGGCTGCTAAGGCCGATGCTGAAAAGGCCAATGCGATTGCCCAGCAGAGGGAGAAAGACGCAGAGGCAGCCCAAGCGCGGGCAGAGAAAAAAGCAAGAGAAGCCAAAAGTTCTAGGGGTGGGACGAGCGGGAAGAAGAGGCGGGAGGAGGCGAAGCAAGCGCAGAAAGAGGCCGACGCTGCGAGGGCCAGAGCGGACCAGGCGAGAGAGGAGGCAGATGGGAAGGAGGAAGCGGCTGCGGAGGCTGCGAACACAGTGGAGGAGAAGCGGCAGGAGCTTGTGGATGAAGCAGAGAGGAGCAAGCCAGAGCTAGAGGATAAGAAGAGGAGAGGGACGGCCCGGAAGGACGCGGCTCGGGCCGAGCGAGATGCAGCGAAGGAGAAGAAGGAGGAGAAGAAGAGGACGTTCAGAGAGAGGGTGGCTGCGGCCCGGCTGGCCCAGATGGCTGAAAAGGCCAGCGCTGCCGCCGCTGCTGCAGCAGAGAAGCAGGCAGCGGCGGATAAAGCGCTGGAGGCTAAGCAACAGGCGGATGCTGAGGTGGATCGGCTGGTTTCAGCTAAGAGTCAGGCGGAGGATGCGGCGAGGGAGGCCGGGGAAGCGCAGGCGGCGGCGGAGGCAGCGGCACGGGAAGCGGTGGACGCCGGTGATGAGAGGTTGAGTGCGGTGAAGTGGGCGGAGGCTGCGGATGCGCTGGGGTTGAAGTGGGAGAAACAGACGGAGGTGGAGCGAGTGAAGAGGGAGTTGGTTGTGGCTAAGGCGGCAGCTAAGCTAGCTGCCAAGGAGGCTGTGCTGAGGCAGCAGGCAGCTGCTCGGGCGGCAAGTGAGGCGCAGAAAGTCGGCGGCAAAGTGGGCGGGGGCGGTGCGGGTGGTGGAACCGGTGGTGATGCTGGTGGTGATAGTGGTGGTGATGGTGGTGGTGATGGTGGGTCTACTGATCCAGGAGGTGACACAAACGAGGGTGGGTCTAGTGACACAAGCAGTGGTACCAGTGCAGGATTGTCAAAACAAAGTGTAGGGGTTAAAGTGGCCTTTAGTGATGGTGTTGTTGGGAGTGGTGGTGGCAACAAAGGGGGTAACACAAGAAACAGAAAGGTGGATGTGGGGGGCTGATAATAGCAACTTGAACTGAATATGTTGTTATTTTGCTTCATGTAATGGTATAAGTTTGTACAGTGTGCTGTGCATCTTGGCCTGGTGCTGAACTGATACTAAGATGGTGAATGTTGACGAAACATACAATTCTAAAAGTGAAGAGGTAAATTCAATTACCGGTACTGTAGTACCACACCGTATGCTCATAGTACAGCGAAGTGGTTGTGACAGGGAAAGCCGCAACTTCACTATCCTGTCACGCGCCATTCACGATATAAGCTGACGCCTGCTTCGGGACGGGAACCATAACCCTGGTGAAGCATTCGCTCATTGGCTCTCTGGAGTCCAGAGTCGTACGTTACTCACGAAGTGGGGCACAAGGTGACGCCGTCGCCAGGGAGTGGAAGGGTCACGAGAATCCTGCACTCATCGTGCATCGATTCCGCTCGTCCAGAGTCGCACGTTACGCCGCAATTCGACGCGCATCGCGCATCGCATCGCCAACGGAGTGGGTGGGTGGGTGAGGGAGTGGGGGGGTGGGGGGGTGGGGTGGGTCGGGGGAGGTGAGAGAGAGAGAGGGGTAATCCTTCTGGTCCTTCTGGTCCTGAGCAAATAGAGCAGGTGGGACGCTGGGCAAGCAGGGAGGAAACAGGGCGAGGCTATGATAGAATCTCGGAAGGTGTGTGAGCGGGTGGGGGGAGGTGAGAGAGAGGGGTAACCCCCCTGGTAGCGAGCAGCAAGAGCAGCTGGAACGGTGGGCAAGCAAGGAGGAAACAGGGCGAGAGGTCGTTGAAGGGGTTGGGAGGGAATACTCTCTTTTATCTGTTCCTATTTTGAGGCGCCTCAAAAGAAATTCTCTCGTTTATCTGTTCCTGGAAGAAAGGAACAGATCGTGCGAGGCCGCTGAAAGGAAGGGAGAACGGGTGTATGAACGGGAGCGGATGGAGAGAAGTGAGATGGGCGCGGGGACGTGGGATGGGATGGGATGGGATGTGATATGTGAACAGAACCGGGGGAAGTGAGAAGGAAGAGAGAGGGGAAGGGGCGAGGGGAGCAGCGGGAGGACAGTGGCTGAGGACAGCGGGAGGTCAGAGTGGTGGAAATAGAGTAAGTGGGTATGCATAGGGAGCTGGTAAGTTGGGATGGGTGGGTGATGATGATGGGGAATGCGGGGTGAGGGACGGGGGGGAGTGAGAGGTGAAGAATGGGGGGGGTGGGGGGGGGAGAGGTGACAGACGGGGGGGAAATCTTTATGAGCAACGAGGGGCGGAATGATGGGTAAGCGGAAGGGGGGAATGAGGGGTGAGCAAAAGAGGGGAACGGGAGGGAATGAGGGGTGAATGACGGGGGAAATGGATGGTGAGCAGAAAGGGGGAAATGAAGGTTGAGCGACGGAGGGGATGGGAGGTGAGCGATAGCGGAGAAGTGAGGGTGAGTAAATGGGAAAAACAAGGGGTGAGTGAAAGGTGGGGAAATGAGGTGAGTAAAGCAGGGAAATGAGAGGCGAGCGAAGGGGGGAAACGAGGTGGTGAGCGACTGGGAATGCGAGGTACTGAGGGGCGAGCGACGGGGGGAACTGAGGGGTGAGCGACGGGAGGAAACGAGTGGAGAGCGAAGGGGGGGGACGAGGGGGGTAGCGACGGGGAATATGAGGTAAGCGAGGGGGGATGCGGGGTGAGCGAAAAGGAAATGCGAGGTAAGTGACGGGGGGAGCACATGCCTGATGCGCGACGAAGCGTAAACGACTGGAAAGCGAGATGCGGATGAGCAATGAGCGCAGGAGCGATGAGGGGTGGGCGAAACGGGCGCAATGAGAGGAAAATCCGAACGAGGGAGATTAGGAAATGGGGTGACGGGTGAGCCGCGGGGGGATAAGGGATGAGCGGAGGGAAAGACGGAGTGTGAGGGAGATACGAACCCAAAAGCCCTCCCCCGGGCGTGATGCCGCCGAGGACATCCCTCCGAAACCCTAGCTGCCTGGCAATATGGCGAAACGAGAGGGCGTGGGCGGAGGGAGGGAGGGGAATCTGGCGAAAGCGGATGAACGAAGTCTGATCGTGCTCCTCTGAAATTACGGCGTGGAGACGTACGCCACGCGTGCGCGTCACTAGCGCGAATCATTGGAGACAGCGCGTGTCGCGGAAACATAGGGATCCGCGCGCTGTACATTGAGGTACGAAATTCTCTTGTAACCGCTAACAATGCAACCCCTCAAGAATAGAGCTGCTTCGCGAAGGCTCGGTTGTACGAAATCGGCAACAAACTAATCGGCTGCTTCACCTGGCAGATACTTCCTACCCTTCACCACGCTACTACTCGCTGAGGCGGAACGCTCTACAACATATAGCGAAACTGGCTAACTACGATCAACGAGAGAAAGGCAATACCACGAGTTGCTTGGATCTGTAATCGAAACAAGGTCAAACAATCTGAGCAAGCGAGGCACATATGCAACGAGATCTGAGCAGGTGGTGGTTGTGTACCAACCAGCCGAAACACTATCTCCCCTCTGCCCGAATTTTCTTTCTCTCGGATTTCGACCCCGCCCATCTCCGTTTCTGATTGGGTCTCGAAGATTTTGTTCATCCCAACCCCTTCCTTCCGTTGCCCAAATCTTGATTTGACACTAGCAAAACTTCATGCAGCCAATGACATTCATAATCTGCACACATGCCGTCCCGCAACACACGCAAAAACTTCAGACTATAACCTACTGTCACACCTGCCCGTGACTTAGAACCTTGAGTGACGAGAAACTTGATCCCGTGGCACACGTCCAATTGAATCTAACCTTCGAATGTAACAAAACAAAACAAAGTGTTCTGCACTGCAAACCTTAACGGATCAAGCAGAAACAACCAGAGTTCTGACACCCACGGCGCACAGTGCTACCTTCGCTCCCTGCCACCCACCAATGTTCTGTTCTGATAGTCAGACCAAATTTTGCTACCTTCCCTCCCTGTCACTCTCCCTGCCACCCAGCACTGTTCTGACTACTGTAGTCAGACCAGAATTTGTGGTACAGTAGCACGATTCGAGCGTGGAATTTGTCCCTCTCTCAACTTCATATATTCTCAACTTGCACTCCACGGAGCACAAGACGAGGAGTCATCCAGAGGTGTTTCCTTCCATTGTGCCTTTCAGGCTAGTACTGAAGAACGCGCGCGCGTGAAGAGAAGACAAGAGGTGGTTTTCCTTGTGCTTTTCAGGCAAACGAAGACTTGAAGAGAAGGACTGAGGCGGTTCTCCTTGTGCCTTTCAGGCAAACGAAGACTTGAAGAGAAGGACTGAGGCGGTTCTCCTTGTGCCTTTCAGGCAAACGAAGACTTGAAGAGAAGGACTGATGCGGTTTTCCTTGTGCCTTTCAGGCAAAAGAAGACTACTAGTAGTTGAAGCGAAGACTGAAGACTGAGGCGGTTTTCCTTGTGCCTTTCAGGCAAACGACGACTTAAAGAGAAGATCGAGGCGGTTTTTCTTGTGCCTTTCAGGCACACGAAGACCAGAAGAGAAGCAAGCACCCGCGGTGGATATCACCCTTCTCTTCTGTTTCTTCTCCGCCCCCCTCAGTTCACGGGAGGAGGAGCATCACGGTCTTCTCCGCCAGTAAAGGTACTATCCTCTTCCTTTCAAAGCAAGTTGCTTTCAGTTCTTGCTGTTTTTATGTCTTGTTGTTGTTGTTGTTTTTTTTTATTTATTTTTTTGAACTAACATTCTTATGGTTTCTTGTTGTGCGCTGCAGGTTCAGCATGGAGCCGCGGAGGAAGATATCACCCTTTCTGTCTCTTTCTTCTCCTCCCCCCCCAGATCAGGGGAGGAGATCAACGGATAGGATGTTTCTACTCCAACATGGAGGTGATAACTCTGACTTTTCCTCGTTTTGTTTTGTTTTGTTGTTGTTTATGTTTCAGTTTCTGATTTTTAACTAACATTCTTATGGTTTCTTGTTCTGCGCTACACGTTCAGCATGGAGCCGCGGAGGAAGTTATCACCTCCCTTTCTGTCTCTTTCTTCTACTCCCCCCTCAGATCACGGGAGGAGATCAACGGATAAGAAGTTTCTACTCCAACATGAAGGTGATAACTCTGACTTTCCTCGTTTTGTATTTGTTTTGTTGTTGTTTATGTTTCAGTTTCTGTTTATTAACTAATATTCTTATGGCTTCTTGTTCTGCGCTGCAGGTTCAGCATGGAGCCGCGGAGGAAGTTATCACCTCCCTTTCTGTCTCTTTCTTCTCCTCCCCCCTCAGATCACGGGAGGAGATCAACGGATAAGAAGATTCTACTCCAACATGAAGGTGATAACTCTGACTTTTCCTCGTTTTGTTTTTGTTTTGTTGTTGTTTATGTTTCTGTTTTTTTTTTTTTTTTTTTTAATCTAACTTCCCATTTGGTTGCTTCCTCTATGATGCAGGTTTAGCGAGGAGCGCGGCGTCTGCTATCACCTTTTCCTTCTCTTTCTTCTCCTCCCCCAACAGATTACGGGGGGAGGCACGCGGCAGCGGACAAACATCATCTTCGACAATGAGGTGTAAGCTCTCTTCATGCTCGTGTTTATGTTTTTGTTAGCAGTTGTTTCTTTTCGTTTTGTTTTAATTCGTTTTGATTGTTTTGTTTTGCGTTTCCTGCCAATGCGATCGTATCACCTTCTCTTCTCTCTTCCACCCCCAGATCATGCCGAAGAACAGCAGCTGCGGGGTTACTGGGCCAGGCGGAACGTTAGGGGAGTTTATCTGGCGACGCACGAACTGTTAGACCGTTAGAACCCGCGACCTGGCGACGTGCGAACTGGCAGGCGCGTTAGAACCCGCGACCTGGCGACGTGCGAACTGGCAGACGCGTTAGAACCCGCGACCTGGCGACGTGCGAACTGGCAGACGCGTTAGAACCCGCGACCTGGCGACGTGCGAACTGGCAGACGCGTTAGAACCCGCGACCTGGCGACGTGCGAATTAGCTGACGCGTTAGAACCTGCGACCTGGCGACGTGCGGACTGACTGGCCGACCGACATACCGAACGTA